CACCCCAGGTATCTGTCACCTTCCTGTTCCTCGCGCTCTCCTCCGTTCCCGACCGCAGGCACAACCATCCTGCTCTGGGTGGTGTTGTAAAGGCAACATTTATTTAACTTATATTTGTCCCAGAGCCCAAAGAACACACACACACACACAAAAATTTGGAATGGAAGCTCATTAAGTCCTCCAGGGTACTGAAGCTGGGTGGACAAGCTGTAGACAGAAATCTATGGAGCTGGTCATGAGCAAACTGTTGGGGAATGTCCTGATCTGTTACGGTCCGGAGGAGTCAAACTGCTCAGGTTTTCAGCTGCTGGCAGAAACCATCCCTTAAAGCACAGAATGTCCTGGCCCAGATCTCAGCTGGGATGCACTGACCCGGCATGTCCCTGCAGGAGCCCTATTCGTGACACGTAGCAGGGGTCCGATGCCGGGTCAGCGCTGCTGGCTCCCTGCAGGATGCTCTCCTCCTGGTGTTTTCGGGCAGTGGGCAGCCTCCAGTCTCTGCACGATGCCCTGGTGGGAGGGAGCAGTTCTGGGACAATTAAATGAAGCCCCTGACTCTCAGGGTAACCATTGTGACCACAACAGCTCCTTCTTTCCAAGATCTCAGGTCCCTGCACCTTGTTTATCACTGCTGTAGTAGCTCCTGAGTCTCTTCAGGTAAGAGCAGTACCTATGAATCAGCGTGCCATCCTGCATTAGTAGATGTTCTTCTCAAGACATGCACACTGATCCTGGCTTAACATCTTGATTTTGGGGCCCAGAGCCTGTTGCTTTAGCTCAGACCACGGCCAAAGAGGATGACACTGCTCTTGGAAGCTGCAAATTTAGACCTGTAGGTTGTAGACAAAGAAATTGTTTCTCTCTGGGGATGTACCCCTTTGCGAAATACTTATTTTGGGAAATTGTTCTTTATACTTCTGCTGCTCAACAAAGCAAAAGCATAACTAATGTTGTGGATTTGTCTGCTCTGGAAGTTTGTTTTAACTTCTGCTGAATTCAGTTAGCCAATTCTCTTCCAGAGGGTTTGCATTTCCAGATTCACCATGTGTCTTATTTCTCCAGCTGCTCGTCACCCCAATCTTCTGTTCTTTGCCTCCGTGCTGACCCTGCTAGCCCCTCTTCTTGCTCTGCACATTGAAAACCTGGGAAGACTGCATGCGAAGTTGAATGAAATCACTAATCTCCACGCAGATGAGCCCCATCCTGGTATGTGTTTTCTCTCTTACATCCCTAAACCCTGTCCATCCAAACATTAGTAACCATTTCCTCTCTTCACAGAGAGGGGGATGTGGAAAATAATCTTGGGGAGGGGCAGTCACGCTCAGAAATAAAAGGAATCTGATCAAGTCTTCCTCCAAATTCAGATCTTAACCAGCCATCGTAAGATTTGGTAGTTCTTTGTTATTGGCAAGACTGTATGTAGCAGCTTCTTCTAGAGAGCTGTAGATATTCAAAGGAAGATCTTTTGCTGTTTATAGTCTACCTGTAGCCCTGAGACTTCACAGAAATTTTGTATAAGCGACCAAGCAAAATGCTTTCTGAAGCTTGCGCCTGGCTAAATGATACAAAAAACTTGCCACACCACTGACAGAGCTCGCACCGCCGGAGGCTCTCGGGGAATGCTGTCTTACAAAGATGGGTGCTGTGCCTTCCCTTTAAAGAGAGAGCATTGCTATCTTACATGCTTTGAGGTCCTTTTCTCTCCAAACGTTTCTGGAGCTTTTTATGAACTGGATGAACACAGGAATCCCTTCAGCCACCACTGAAAAGCAATGCAGGTTTACAGCACATCACTCAACAGTTTAATCTTGGTCTTAAACCACACACAGTCTGTTCCTTTCTTGATCCTTCTTCTCTAGCAGTATCTCTTTGTACTCAGCACTACTACTTGGATGTGCAGTCCGCTCCATGCAGCGCTGTAAACCCCTAATGCGCAGTGGACCAAATAGGCAGCTGCTCAACGACATTGCAGTGTTACCCTTCCTAGTTTAACTCCTTTAAAGAGTTTACAACCAAAAACTACCGTACAGAAATTAAAACGAACCCAGTGGCATTGCTGAAGTGCCCTACCAAAAAGTCAGTGCTGGAAACAACAGCCTGTGGAGGCTGGAGTTACCTCTGTGCTGTGGCACGGGGCTGCTCATCTCACTCTTTCTGTTTTTCCCGATGCCCATGAAGACGGAGAGGACGCACGGCAGATCAGAGCCAGTGACCCTCAGCAGCCAGAGCACCGCAGTAAGTGCCCCCGCCACCCCGCAGGGAAGAGGGAGAGGTGTAGGCGAGGAAGGTCCGACAGCAGTGGGTGGGCAACAGCCCTGGGGATAACCTGGCTCAGCAGCCGGGGGCAAGACTCAATGTGCTCCTCCACAGCCCATGCCAAGGCCGCTCAGACGTCGCTCGTTACTCGTGATAGCTTCGCACTGAACCGTGCCTTGCAAGAGCCCAAGGGACTTTGCAACCGTTACTCACGTGCCACGAGTCCCCTCCTCTGCTGTGAAGCTCTGCACGGGGCCAGCAGGGGATGTGCCTCCCGAGCAACGCTGGCTGGGGTTTCACAGCTGCCCGTGGGGTCCAATGCCAGGGGAATGAGGTTTTCTCCTTCCCAACCCCAGGGATGCAGTGTATGCCAGGGTTGCAGGAACAGCTCACTGGATCGTTTAAGCTTCTGCTTAGCTCTGTAAGAAGAGCCCTCGTCAAGCCAAGCTTGGACCCCTATATCGTTATGAGGGAGGAGAAACATCTGAACATTGGGAAAGGCTGAGGAAACAGGAGCCTGGGCCAGATGGAGAAGCAAATTCTATGCTTATAGCTTCAAAATACAGGCATAGTCTCTTAACCACTGTATTCCCCTTACAGAGGGTTTCTACTTTCACGCTTAGAGAAAGAAACACAACGGCAGACTTTTTGCTACCCTGGCAAAATCCCACATATGCCTAGTTTCTAGAAATCCCTCTCACAGGGCCAGACGAGCAATTGGGGTGTTGCTGTGGCTGTTGGTCCTCCATGTTCTCTCCTGCCCCAGGTTGGCCCAAGGACTGCAGCGAGATCTCCGCTGGCAGCCCCAGCGGCGTCTACGTCATCCAACCCATGGGTCTGCACCTCATCGTGGTGTACTGCGAAATGAACGTGACGGACGGGGGCTGGACGGTCATCCAGAGGAACCAGCAGAGCACGGAGATCACCTGGGCCGAGTCCTGGAGCACCTACAAGTACGGCTTTGGGAAACTGCACACCGAGTACTGGCTGGGCACCGAGTACATCCATCAGAACTCCAAGCAGAAGGTCTACCAGGTCAGGTTTGTCATCTGGGATGCCGCAAACAACGCCAAGTTTGCAGACTACAACCTCTTCAGTGTGGAAGATGAGTCCCAGGGCTACCGGCTGAGGCTGGGAGCGTACTCAGGGACAGCAGAGGATGCCATGGCCTCAAAGAGTCCCAGCACCACGCATGACAACATGAAGTTGTCCGCGAAAGATCTGGCTCAGGACACTTGGCCTCCAGCAACGGGGGCGGGTGGTGGTACTCGGCGTGCTATTCTGTACGGCTGAACGTCAAGGGGGCCATAACGTGGGGCAGCCTGTGCAACGGGAACTGCAAAGCTTCTGCCATCCTCATCAAACCAGCCGCCTACTGCTAGTTGCATTTTCATTTCCTTTCTGTCTGACCTGAGGCTAATTCTGGCTCTGCAAAGAGATGGAAAAAGGTACAACATGTCATGGCCAAACCTAGTGTCCTAGGGTGTCTTTGCTGAGGTTGGTCATATCCTAGCTACTGAAGAAAATAAGGCATTTTCCACTTCTTCTCCCTCCTCTAAATTCCCTCTACTCCTCAACTGTGCCTTTATCTGTTCAGATACTTTTAATTATGTTCATAATCAGAACAGTGCCTTGCAAAATCTGGAGATTCCAGATCTGTAGTGTGCTTCCTATAAAACGTGAAACGGGCAACCCAGTGGACCTATATGGCTTTGTAAATTAATTTACATTCTTAACTTCAGGCAAACTGCCTAATTTTCACTTGCAGAAGATCTTGCTCAAGATATTAATGTGCACAGTCCAATTCCCACCTTCTACTTTTCAGGCTTAATAGTTGTTAAATATTCTAATAAATCTGTATTCAAACAACTGTCTCAATTGCAAAAGTCTATTCCAAAGCTTTGAAGTGCTCACAGAGGTTAATGCATTAGAAGGTTTCCACCACTGAAGCTCAGCTTTCCTGTAGGACAGACATTTGGGACTGCAGGGCAAAAGCGACGCGTAAATAGAAGTTGAAATCCTGCGTGCAGACTTCTGCCTTTGCACACAGCAGTTTTGCGTAAGCATAGGAAATGTCAAAACGTTTTCACTGATCTCGGCAGCAGTGAGGTTTTGGGTTTGTGGTCCATGAAATGCGCATCCCGCAGCGCCGTGGGGAGTCCATCTCCTGAGCCAGGGCCACGATGACTTCCAAGAGATGACAGCACGGAGGGAAGGCACCATCCTGCCTTTGCTATTTTGAAATTGGAAAGAGATTTCAAAGTGCAGTAAAATTTCCGTGTGGCAGGACCTCCTGGCTCCTTCAGTCCACCCCTCTGGCATCGCCAGGGCTGCTCCTCACTGCCGTAGCAGCCAGTGTCATGGTTTGCGGGTGGGCACCGTTGCTGACCGCAGGGCGACTTCCACAGCCTCCACCTGCAGAGAGGGGAAGCAGGATGAGTCCATTGGTGCCCTGGCGTTCCCCTGGCAGGAGGGTGTGACCTGGAAGCCCTCAAGCCCAAGGTGAGCGAGGGAAACGACCCGACCTCAAAACCGTCTGCGTGACCCCGCCTTCCCGTGCCTGACTTTCTAACAGCACCCCCAAAACACCGCCTGGTCTTCTCAAGAGCTGAAGCACACAAACGGCTGCTGGTTTCACACAGCCTGGCTTGACAAAGAAAGGCTGCAGGCTTAGCACGGTTCATGGACAACTAACGTGTCCCGGGAAAGGTGATATATGTGAAGTATTTCGTGTCTTTAGGGATTTTAAGACTGTGCGTGAAAGGTCTCGTTTGTGAAGGAGGGACTCAGGTCTGAGCCGAGTGAGGGAGCACGGGAAGGGATCAGAAGAGCTCTGGCACGACCTCTCAGCAGGTAAGTGAACAGACCAACATTTGCATCGATGAATGTCAGGGCTCAACGTCGCAGCTCAGAAAATGCAGAAGTCTTCAAGCGGGATCTATCATCTCTGCCAGGGTCAATCCTTCGGTCACACTGGTTACATCATTGGCTGTCAACCTACCGATGCAAAACAGCATTTCCCCCCAAAATAATGGCTTTACATTTTTCTTGAAAGGATCAATATATTCCCTTCTTTGAGGGAAGAAGCACGTCAGCAGATGCCATCCATCTCAGCTTCCAGCCACCATGGCATTAGGGTGCTAAAAACGCCTGCAGCAGCACGCGAATGTTAGCGTGTCTTTGGCTCAGTGAGGTGAGATCTGCCTTCCTCGTAAACGGGGAAAGGTAGGCTAGCAAACAAAAACGGGTGAAAACAAATCTTTTATTGTCTTGTTATGCTTGTGTGCGATTTTTTGACACTATGGTTTTACTGGGTCTGCGTGTCTGCTTTTTAAAGCGGTATTTCTCTCCCTGCCTCCTACCACCTCCTGTTCCAGCCCCCTTTGCAGTGAGTCATGAGGTGCATGACAGGCAAGAGGAGGCAGCTGCCAGCTCAGATCGAAGCCTATACTCAGTGTAGGAGATAATAACTTAAATAAAATGTTCTCAGCTGTCAAACTTGGGAATTTCTTCTTGCATTTGGAAATCTTTTTTTTTGGCTAACTCTCTTGCTTTAAGATGGGTTTGGAGATGTGTGATTAAAGTGACCCTCTGCTAGTGCCCTCCCCGCCGGGACCTGAGGGATGTGTAACCCGCCGTGCCCTGCTGGTATGGTGGAAGGCAGCAGGGAGGCAGCAGCACCCACCTGCACTTTGTTCCCACCAGCCCGTTCCCCTTCCACCACGGGAAGGAACATACTGCCGGGTATCCCATCCTTGCGGTGAGTCACAGAATCACAGAACGGTGGGGGCTGGAAGGGACCTCAGGAGATCATCTAGTCCAACCCCCCTGCTAAAGCTATTTCACCTAGAGCAGGTCGAAAAGTCCCTTTTGTGCCATGTCCTCTCATTACCCCTAAGCAGTGTGACTTTTGTCAAGTGATACCTTGCTTTTTCTGCAAACTCTATGGCTGATGCGCGCCCTAGGGTCTCTTCTGCTCTCTCCGGAGAGGTTCGGACAGCTTGTGCTGTAGTGACCCTCTCCAGCACGGTCCTCCTTCTGGGCAAGCAAGCTAGCACCAATCACCATCACGAAATGCACTTAAAATGCAAAGGCAACGTGAAAATAAGTGATTCGAGAAATCTAGAATCTCATTGCTTACACTTTTCCTGGTCCCCAGAGGGTGCTCTTGCCCCAGGGTTTGCCAGGCAGCTTCCAGCGTAGAAGGAAGTGCTGCAGCAAGGAGAGCTCAGAAATATTGCCTGAGGAGTCCAGCTGCAGGCTGCAATTTTCTCTTCCATGTTCCTTGCTCCATCCTAGGG